CTGCTCACATGTTCTAAGACAATGATCAGTATTCTAAGGGCTATAAGCTTGTAAAAAAATAAAGAGAATAAGAAATTCATTTTCCATTACATTCAAAGTCATCCGTTTTTCAAATAAAAAATAAACCTATATGTCTTGGACTCACTTACCGTTTCGGGAGGTCAGGATATCGACATCCCTTCTCGCGTTCGAGCTGGGCGAGTTTCAGTTGGTAGAGTTTGTTCTCCTGTTTTTGTTTTCTGTTAATGTAACAGCAGATACCAATAATGCCGAAAATCAGTAGGGCGATGGCGGCGATGACGATTCCGACGATCATTCCCGCTTCGACCGGCAGCATGATCTGAATGTAAACAAAGCTTAGCAGTAAACTGATGTCGAATTGACTTAGTAGCAACAGCAAAAGCTAATAACAGGGTGACGCACATGGCCATTGGTGGTCTCAACTCCCGCTCAGCGGTCCAGGTTCCGTGAGTTTCTCCCTTCAGTTCCCGATGTCCGGCTTTTAGACCATTTGGCAGTTTGCACTTAGCATTGGACTTGTTTTGGGATACGTAATGCAACTGGAGGTAGTCTGATTCGCTGCGGACGATGAGGTGTTGACGCGCGGCAAAGACGACTGATACGAATGATGTGATACAGTCTTAACGCCTGTCAAAAGAAAAAGAAAAAAAAATCGAGTTGACGCACGGCCAAGCGCAGCTGCATCAACACGCCCCATCGTCCCCAGCAAACCCGAGTATAGATCTATTTGTGAACATTTGTGATGGCGTTCAACATAAGGGTGTGGAGGAGGAGGGAAGTCAAGATCCCTTCCACGCCCAGTATGTGTGAGACGTTTTACCCCCGCAAAGAAAAAGCCCGCGATTGTAAATTGTGTTAAGTGGCGTTAGATCACAAACCTAAAACCACTTGATGACTCTCCAGGGAAGGAAAGAGCAAAAAAAACATGGAGAACACCCCAAGTAAGGAGCTGGAGCCTCTCTGGACGAGTTCTCCGGACCAAAGCGATACTCTGCCACCTTTGGCTCACTAGTCGTTTCTTCGCGTCATCAAGTGAATTCGCGACAGAAGCTGCCTATAAGTTTCGGTGGGCGGGGCAACTAGGAAGGCTCCAGAACTGCCACTTGTGAGGGCCATAGCACTTTCATTCATACTGCCAAACCGCCAAGGAGGGATAATCTTCAGAGATGAGGACCAGACTCCTTTAAC